ATAATGAGATAAAACAAAATCAGGGGAGAATTTGTCTCAGCATCAATCAAAGGTTAACATCCTTTCTTCAAATCTTCTTTTTCTTTTATCCTGCAGCACTAGCAGTGAATGGATGGAAAAGAGCAATAACCCACAGGTATTTCAAGGAGTACAGAGTGGAACTGTTTATTTCTTAATGCTAAAATATTGAAATAGCAGTGGGGGCCATATAGTTTGGCTTGTTTTCCCCATAAAGAAGTTAAAGATCAATCATTTGGCACCTGGATTAATGTTGTACAGCTAAGTAAGGCCAGAGATCGAGCCAAGATGAAGGTTCCCATTATAAACCTCAATTGCTGGAAATTAAAATTGTACAAGAGAAATTTGTTTTCCAGAGGTAGTTTTTGAACTTAATAGTTAACCCTAGCAGCTGAATAATTCTCCCTTATTCCTTCAATTTTTTTTTTAAGAAATGAGTCTAGTTGTGAAAAGTTGCAAGGCTTTCAAGAGCAAACCATTTTTTAAACAACTTCTCTCATGGGTGGTAATGATTTCACTAATGAAATGCATTTCATCATTCACACCATGATCACATTATGCCTTAATAAAGAACCCTCAAAAGAACATTTATTATGGGATTTGCAGTTCACTGATGCAGGCAGATGCTGCACTCCAGGGTAACCACTGGGTCAAGTCATTCCTTATCCTGCTTCAAAACTGGTGCTCCACTTGCTGGAGGTTCACAAGGCCATCTATGATCCCTCAGTTAAATCCTTACCTACCTACAGTTCTCTGAAAGAAGGATAAAGAAGAATATGAAGGTTCCATTAACCATGTCCAGAATGGTTTGGACAAGAGAGATGCTTAGTTTTCTAGAAGATATAAGAATGCTTCCTTCTAACCAAGCCATTCCTTGATTCCCATCAAAGATAGACTCATTCATTCATTCATTCATTCATTCATTCAACAAACATTTCAGGAGTCCCTACCTTCTGGAACAAAGGGTTACACAAAGTGTTAAATAGATGTCCATATTAAAAATTTAGTTTCAAATGCTTTGCAGATTTTTTTTATCTAACAGAACCTTGTATAAATCCTGGAGCATTTAAAGGAGCTCTGTTGGAATATCTTGCTGTTATTTACCCACAGAGGTACTGAGTATGGGGGTAGAGGTAGACAACTAAGCATAAGTAGAAGAGATAAGTTGCACAGGATAGTGTGACAAGTCCTGAAGGAAAAAAAAATATGGGCTGATTTTTTAATGCCAAAATAGGAATCAAATACAATAGCAGGCACCATTTATCACTGAACTGCAGAGCTCAGAAAAGGAGGCAGGCCACCAAGTAGTGTGTGAAGTCTTTCACAGTTACATCATGGTGAAGATGCCTAATTCTTGCTCTCCTAGGCAATGGTTTTCATCCCTTCCTAGTAATATCCAAGTATATTTGAACAAGCCCAGGCTGCATATGCTATGCAAATATGCAATACAGAAGAGAGGGAATCTGTGGTTTGGGACCATAGTGAGTCAGGCATGAAAATAAATCATGAACCATGTCGCTCAAGTCTCCAGACTTAGAAAAACCTGTGTCCATCTGCACAACCTGTGACCTTACTATCATAAACTTGGCTCAGTCCCTCTTCCAGTGATTCCATTTGGACCTCCTAGGCCATAGGGAATAGAAGTTCCTAAAGACTGACTCTAATCACCTAATCTAGGTCTGCCCCAAGGAGGGCCAGACCATCAATCTGAGCTCTACAGCCCATGCATCATGGACATGAAGTAGTGCCTTGTTCTGGGTTCTGGAGTTAATTCAATTAGGGTATTTCATTCAAAAGTCAATCAACAAACTTCTCCACTCCATCTCTAGTGAGGGGCTTGGCAATGGAGGAAGAAAAGAGGACTGTGAGGTCTCTTTTTGCCCAAAGTTTTCCAGAAACCAAGAATATTGAGAACTTTAAAAAAATCATAAACATGCAAAGATCAGAAGAGGCCATATAGTTAGTATAGTTTACAGATATAGTAGAATCTCTGCAAAAGTGAACATGTTTATTATTGTGGGCTCTCAAAGTCAATTCTTCCTGTTTGAAATGTAAATGCTTAAGATAAGTGAGAGGAAGACCTCCCTTGGAGATCTGAGCATATTATGAGATGGAATCAGGAAAGCATTTGTCCATGCAGCTGCATGGCACCTTTGTGCCTATTTTATAGACTTGAAGACTGAGACCTAGAGTAAGTGCTTGCCTGGCAAGCACAAGGGCCTGAGCTCAATCCCCGGTTCTGCCAAAATAAATAAATAAATAAATAAATGAGAAAATCTCTCTTCTGAGATAGGAAGGAAAAACAACTGAGTGGGCACAGGGAAAAGGAAAGAAGAGGACTTTCCCTATATTAAGAATGTTTAAAACCTGAAAGGTATAACAGATATAGTAAAATGAAAAGAAATGAAACTTAAGGATTAAGCAAGGAAGAGGAAAGAAAGGAGAAAAGAGAGGGAAAAAGGTAGGGGGGAAATATGCAAGTATATATACAGGATGGCTGAGGTGATTTACTAAGAATTTCCATCAGTTTTTGAAAATAGCAGTTAATGTGTAGAATGTTCACCTTGACTAACTCTGTATGCTGATATCTGCATCTAAGCAACTACAGCGAGGACAACAATGTGTAACACAGGAGCCATGCTTGAATGCTTGTCATCTTGGGCTTCCAATTGTGTACCATTTCTAATGTTATCTCAATTATTACTATGCTCTCTTTAAAATAAATTTTTAAAAAGGTAAGAGAAGAAAATAAGAGACAAAAACAAGAACTTAAGGTTTCCTTAAAGCAAGTGGTAATATTCAATCATATGTCCAATCTTACTTAACTATATCTATTAATCTGAGCAACAGATTAAAATAAATAATATATCAACCATTATTAATCAGCTATTCTTGTTTTGAGAATCTGTAACATATGTATTGTATATGACCCTTTTTCTGTTTTAGTTTCTGATTTTTGTTCTTGCTCTTATTCTTACTCTTCAAAGTAAATTAAATTAAATCAAAAAAAGAAAATTGAAAACATATCTGCATAGCATAAAAACATGCACACAGATGTTCATAGCAATTATTTGTAAAAACCCAAAAGTGTAATTGACCAAAATGCCTATCAACTCATGAATATAAAATGCAAAGGGCTATGCTCACATAGACTATTACTGAGCAATCAGAAATTAAAGTGTTGCAAACTTCAAAAATCTATGCTGGGTAAAAAACACAGTAACAAGAAAACATATACACTGTGGTTTTATTATGATTTTTAAATGACCCAAACAGGCAAATCTAAAGGAAGAAATAGTAGATTAGTGGTTACCTAAAACTGTAAGCATTAGCAAAGAAATAATAGTGGTTTGTAATAGTTATGGGGCTGTTTTTCAGGATGATGACAAAGTTTTAGTAGCTGTACAACTCTGAGGCTATCGTACAAACCAGTGAATTTTGTACTTTAGGTGTGTGCGCTGTACAGTGTGTAGTTGTGTGAGTAAATATGTCCGTGCAAATACCTCCAATAACCTTTGTTATTTGAAATAAAGACAATCATAGACCTTAAGAGATTCAGCAAATAAATATAGAAATAATCAAAATCAGTAAGAGCTACTGAAACGTGTGAATGACAAAAACATACTTAGGAATGTAGAGAACAATTAAAACAGTTGGAATAGGAAGCTCAGAGCAAGGACTTGAGATGGGTTTCATCCTCCTGGGTGTGGATGGCTGGGCTGGCTGAAAGCCACAGTTGTCAATGCTGGCTTCCCTTTGGAAGCATCTAGGAGCTCGGTAAAAATGCTCCACTTTGAGTTCCATCCTCAAGTAGATCAGTTAAAGTCTGTAGCGTGGGCCCAGGGCATATTTACATTTGGCTATTTTGTATGTGATTTTAGTAATTTACATCCACAAGTAAGAGATACTTTCTTAGGGAAAACAGAGGTTGCCACAGCCAACCACAAACCAGGAATCAGCAACTAGCATGGCTACTGCTTCCATCTAGTGGAACTCTTCTAGAAACAAACTATTCAAATCCTTGATCACCTTGTTAAGGTTGCTATCACCCTACCTCAAGTATGAGTAGGGAAGAGGCTGCAAAGAACCAGGGAAGTGGTAGGAGACTTAGCTCTGGAATGATAAAAATATAGGTTCAATTATTGGCTCTGTTAGCCTCCACTGTTTGATTTGGAGTAAGATAAAGCAGCCTCTTTGAGTATGTTTACTAATCGAACAATGGTGATAATGCATGTCTTCCTCTTTGGATCAATGAGACAGTGTGAGCAAAGATCTAAAACAGTGTTGCACACTTGGCAAAGACTCGATTTACATTAGCTCCAGATGCCCACTGCAGAAAACATTTACATTCGGAATACCAGAGGTTACTTGGGATAGGAATGTGCATTGCATGATAAGCTTTCAGAGATGGGATAGACTGTGTAGGTAGAGGGTGCTACTCACTAGAAGGATGGCATTTGGAGACCTGTATTCCATGTCTGTGTTCCTAAGAATTCACTAGGGCAGATAGAGAATACTAAAGCGATTTCAGTGTCAATGGGTCCACATGAGTGGGCAGGTCCTCCTCCCCAGGAAACAAATCTTATCCAGCATGTGTCTATTGTCCAACTACATTGCCTTGTACATCAAAGTAGTAAAGTATGACTTGAGCTTAGTCAGAGAAAGCAGATAAGGGAAAGGGACTTTTGTTCTCAGTTACCTGGGTCCATATAAAGAAACCTGTAAGATAGATAGGTAGGTAGGTAGGTAGGTAGGTAGGTAGGTAGGTAGGTAGGTGGGTGGGTAGGTAGGTAGATGACAGATAGATAGATAGATAGATAGATAGATAGATAGATAGATAGATAGAGCAGCAAAAAAAACAATATAAAAGGAGAGGTAGAGAAAGAGAGAGAGAGGTGGAAAAGTTGGTGAGAAAGAGGTTTAGAAGAACACAAACACAGACAAGGAGGAGAAGCAAACAGGGACCCATGCAGAAGTCTTACCAACTGCCTTCAAGGAGGCGTACTTGTTGAGCTCTTTGCCTGGTGGCTGCTGTTCATAAGGATTGGAGATCTGGCCCAGATTGGGATACGAATGTGGATGGCCCATCTGCTGGAGCAAAGGAGAGGTGGGTACTGCGTTGTTCATCTGGGTGGTGTCTGAAAGGGAAGAGACAGAGAGACAGTCATAGATAAGGCAGAGCCTTCTACCCACCTGCATCATTATCACATCCCTTAAAACCAAAACTCTCCACACCTGCTGGGGACATGAGGGGCAGAAGAGCAAAAGGTAAACAACCAAAGTCCCTGGGGATCAACTGAGGAAATGTGGGTGACTTCACCTTTAAGGGAAGAGTATGTGCTCAGAACATCTCCGCCTCTCACATAGATTAACAAGTTAAGGTCCCATGATTAAGGGGTTATTTCTGTCGTTCAAAAAACATTTGTGTAAAAAGATGCTCAACCTCATATATTATCAAGGAAATGCAAATCAGAAGAACAATGAAAAGGCATTCCTTTGTCAAAAGATGGACAAACATTAAAAGCATTGGAGGACACAAACACTGGCAAAGGCATAAGGAAAATAAAATCCTTGTAATTGCCTGGTGAACATGGAACCTGCTATAACCTACAGAAAAGTCAGCATAGTGTATTCAAATTCAACAGACATGTGTATGTTTACCAAACAATAGATATATCTAGAGACTGAGCCTAAAGAAACATAAGCACCGGAATATGTGGATATTTGTTCAGAGATGTTTCTTGCACAATTGCATTGTTTCCTAATATAAAATAAAGATACAAAAATAAACTGAACTTCTGTTACTATATAAATTCTTTAAAATTACTGTGCCTATATTGTATGATATATTTATGATGGAATATCTTACAATTGTTAGAAGAGTGCACTAAAGTAAGTTATACATGTTGAACTGGAGATTTTCTTGTGGTTTATATTGTTAAATAGGGAAGAAAGTTTCAAACTAATAGAAATAATACAGATTTTTTCTTAAAGGAAAAGGTCTATGCCTAATTTTGTGTGCTATGGTTTGTATAAGACATATAAAATACATAAAGAACACAAAATGAATATTGGCTGTTACAAAGGAAGGGAATTCACCGGAAGAGAGGATGCAGAAGATTAGTTTGAGGAAATATCCTTTGAGATGAGATCCAGTGGAAGAATAGAATGCTTTTGAGTGTGGTGGGAAAGAAAAGGCACTAGGTAGGTATTTGGTCAGAGAAGTCAGCGAGGGTCTTGTAGCTGGAGGGAAATACAAACACTCAGAAGTGAGAGAGTTGCACCTGGCCATGCACAACTGTGGAACACAAGAGAAGAAAGTGGAATAGGTTGGTCTAGAAAGGCTGGCAGCACTTGGAGGAGTTTGTCAAGGGGCCCATCTTCATCATGAAGGTAAAAGATGGACAAGATAAAATTGGAGGAAAGGAGGATAGATGAGAGAGTGATGGTTCAGGTTCAGCCAGGAAATCTGGGGTCTCTCCAGCATCAGGAAGCACTGGCATCAGTCCAGATACATATTACACTCGAGGCTGCAGGTACCTCAAAAAGTCTCTTCTCAGGCTTGCACACCCACCCTTTCCTAGCCAATGTGCATGTTGCATGCTAAAAGCTAACAGCTGCCCCTGGTATGCAAAGGATTGTTCTCAGCTGATGAAACCACCAAGTCAGGCTTACTTCACTTCATGCATCTCATCCTCAAAACGTGGGGTGGCCAACCACCAATGCATGGTTGACGATCAATCTGTGGTTAACAACTAAGGTGCCAAGAGCAGCTGTTTGCTTCAAAGTGGAAACAATCTTATGGAGCAAAGGGTGTTCTGAATCTCACTATGAACTGGAACAAATTTAGGGCTTGGGTTGTCAAGAGTTTTTTTGTAAAGGGCCAGGTAGTAAATATTTTAGGCTTTGCAGGTCAATTAGCCTGTATTTTAACTTACCTACCAAGGTAGTATGAAAGCAGCCCTAGATAGTATATAAAAAATAGATATGAGTATGTTTCAATAAAATTTTATTTGCACAATCAAGTAGCTCCAAACTACTGAGCCACAGTTTGATCACAGATAGATTCGACTTCACCTGAGACCCCATCCTTGTGTGGCTTATCTCCCTTATTGTATTTCTCTTAAAGTTTAATAAACTTTAGAGTCATAAAATAACTCCCTCAGAGCCACATCTACCTGAATCCCTATCTTGGGCTCTGCTTCTAGACAACTCAATCCATAGTGTATATAAGAATATGCTTGGTTTTAAAAACCCACGAAAGCAAAAGGAAAGGAAAGGGGTACCACAGCCGATGTGCAAATACAGACAGTGTATTTTTCTTTACCAAACATGCTGAGACCATGACACAAACCCAAATGACTAAACGGAGCATCACCAAGCATAGACCAACTACTCAAACCCAGGCTGGCATCCAAAGGGGTGAGAGAATTCTTCAAAACTTTTTAATTGAAATTCAGCTAAAGGAGCATAGGCCTCCAACTAAGCAGGGGAAGAACAGGCATAGTTTCCACTCTGGGATGCCTTGAACCTTCCTCTCCTGAGCCAACTAGCGGAGGGTTCTGTCTGCTTCCCTTGGGAATGGTAAAAGAAGAATATTTTTGCCCAAATATTGGTCCAAGGTGAAGTAGTTGAGTCTGGTATGTAGTTTTGGGGGGTAACTACTGTTTCTGTATCAAGAACTCATTATTTTAAAATTTTGTAAGGTTTTTGATTGTTTCTTTGTTTTGGTGCAGGGTCTCACTACACAGTTCAGCCTCATAGTGATCCTCCTGATTTGTGCTTCCCTAGTGCTGGGATTACAAGCATATGCCACCATACCCAGACTCTTAAAAATTTTACTGTACTTATTTCTCATACATAGTGCTCATATGCACCATAGGGAATTTGTACCTGTACATAATATATATTTTCATTATTTATTTTATTATTATTATTATTATTATTTTTTTTTTTGGTGGAACTGGGGATTGAACTCAGGTCCTTGTGCTTGCCAGGCAAGCACTTATTCTACTGAGCCGTCTCCCCAGCCCAAACAATGACAGCAGGGTTTTTTTAGTTTGTTTTGTTTTGTTTTTTGGTTGTTTGTTTGGTTGATTTTTGGTGATACCAGGGATTGAACTCAGGACATTGCACTTGCCAGGCAGGCACTTACGCCACTGAGCTATATCCTCGGCCCCTATTTTTATTTTTTAAAGAGAATAGAAACAGTTTTAAAACTATAACAAATGACATTGAATTTCACTTAACAAAATGACAGGAAATCAACAATGGTAGTTGTATTGCATGTTGTTGTCTTCAAATTAGTGGTTCAGATTACCAGATATAATCATGAAAATTGGTCAGACTCCTTTAATATACTGCTTTGTCTCCATTTGGTCATGTGACAAGCTGCCAATTCTGTTTGTATTTTCTCAGACATCAGTGAGATAAGGTCTCAAGTGTAAGCATATCTGGAAAATGGTTTGAATAAATACAGAAAAAGGGTGGAAGACATGGGGGAAGAAAGAAGGAAACAGAGTGTGACACCACGTATCACGCAACTGTGGTACACTGAGTTGAATCTCACTCTGGTACATGGTGTTAAATGTAGGCCTCGAAAGGAAATCACCTGCAGGGATGGAGTCGCTTTGGATTTTCTTTTTTTTTTTTTTTTTTTTTTTTTTTTTTTTTTTTTTTTAATGCCATTTCTTTTTTTTTAAATTTTTTTTTGGTGGAACCAGGGATTGAACTCAGGCCCTTGCGCTTGCCAGGGAAGCGCTTATTCCACTGAGCCATCTCCCTGGCCCTTTTCCCTTTGGATTTTTACACCAAAACTCCAAATCATTGGTGGAGGGCTACTCCAAGGAGACATTAATTCCTCGACACTCACATGTGCTATGTCTATAGGCAGTGTCAGCCATGGTGGTCAAAAGCATCCCTGCCCAGAGATGTAAGAGCTGTAAGCTGAAAAGCATGTGTGTATACTCGGGAATGGCAAAGACTTAAGCGCTACAGTAATTCACATCTCTGGCCAAAGAAGCGAGCACATGACCCAAATCAGATCAATCATAATTCTTTCTTTTCTCACAGTGATTGCATGGCTGGTTCTACACTGAGTCCCTGAGATTTCTTCCATGTATATTTCTATTTAGTAGCTACTGGAGTAAAAAGACACAAGGCCATGAAGTCAAGTGATAGTGAACCTTCCACATAGAGGAAGATCTTTCTTCAGTATGAGAAGCTGAGAGAATAAAGGCACTCCCTTTTTAAAAAAATGTATTTAGTACAGGGTCTCACTACACAGATCAGACTCAAGTGATCCTCCTGTTTTCAGCCTCCCAACCCCTGAGATCACAGTATCATGATGCCCAGTCTCAACTGCCATCTCAGCACACCCCAAGGGTGGGGCCGACATGACTTGTGGTGCTGGGGATCAAACCCCGGTCCCTGCATTCTGCTTAAGCAGGTGCTTTAGTCTGCTGAGCTATCTGGCCAGTCCAAGCCACTCCCTTCTAAATAGCTATATATGCTCTAGGGTTCCTGTCACTTGCAACATAGAGTTTTGACAAATGAAATTTGCATCTGGACTCCTTCTGGGAAGCTGGAACTGATCAGAATCAGCTATCCCTGAAGCCATACTGAAAAAAGGCAAAGCTTGATGTTTGCATCAAAATGGAGACGCTATTGGCACTCGTTTCACTGCAGAACTGTAGCAGCAACTTCCCAGCTGGGGTGAGAGGGGCAAGGTGGGATGAAGAGATGGTGGTCAACACATCCAGTTATAGTGAGAAGGGAAGAACATGTTATGGTGTCACGGAGGCGCGACTACAGTCTATAATAATGTGTGATTCAAATAGTGAGAAGAGAGGATATTGCACGTTCTCACCACAGAGAAATGCTGAATGTTTAGGGCCATGGATATGCTTATTACTCTGCTTTGATCTTTACATGAAACATCCCACTGTACTTAGATACATACAGTGATTATGTGTCAGTTATAAGTAAAACTTTGACATATTGAGCAGTATACAGAGAACAACCAAGGACAATGGTAAACTAATTGAATAATGGTTCCATGGGAAGTCTTTTATCTTTCCTGGAAATAAATCTCAAGCACCAGACTTACTATCAGAACTGACACCCTCAGACTTATCCT